AGGAGGTGGGATGGGAAAGGGGACAGTACCACCTCCTCCCAGCCCAGCCTGAATCCTTCATCTCCACCTCAGGACTAAAACCAAGGGAAACCAAGGCTCCAGACTTCCTACTGGATTGTTTTGAACAGCAAACCCAAGAGCACGTGAGAACTACAGCGAACTGTGATTCTTCTTCATCCCACCAGACTCTTCCCCGGGGTTAGTCGAGATGCTGAGGGCTCAGTGAAGAGAGGTACAGCCATTAGTTCAGCCGTGCCATAAAGTTGGAAAACTGGTGTATGTATTTTAGTCCAGAAAAAGGGCAGAACCAAACCAAATGAAGATATAACTGAAGAGAACCAAACCAGGGTATTTCCAGAGGGACTGTTCCTCCGAGGACAGAGACGAGCGGTCACTGAACCTGCGCCCGAAAAGCCAGGCTGCATCTGGGATGGGCCAGCAGGAGAGAGAACAGGGATTTACCAGGAGAACCACCACGGGCAGTGAGCAGCACCCTGACAGGGCTGGGCAGGAGAACCCCCCCGCTTCAATCCTGAACCAGTCTGGGTACAGCAAGAGGGAAAAACCCGCCAGGGAAAGGCCACCGCTCCCTCGCGTTGGGAATGCGGTGCCCAGCGCTGGCTCCACACAGTTATTCCTGCAGGGATGTGGATGGGCACTGTGGAAGGGAGGGGGGATGCAGGCAGCAGCCAGGCTGCCAGCCCCTGCACTGACAGAACTGCTGCAAAGCTCTCACTTGAGGTGTCCTGAGCACAGCGTGAAGAAGCTGAGGCTTCAGACCTGGGAGGCAGCCTCACGCCTCGTGCAGCTCCCATCCTCTGTGCTTTGGGTGCTCCTTAGGATGTTCCTTCAGACACCCCTCCCTCAGCTGCACCTTGCAAGTGTTTTAGAGAGCTGCCTACCATGGTTTCTAATGGCAAGTGCCAATCACAGGGACTAACAGGATACGGTTATGTGTTTGAGGCTTTAAACATTCCCTATGCACAGCCAACCCCATAAATCCCCAACCCCTCGTGTTTGCTAGGCTCTGGAACACACAGATACCCCTGTTCCTCCTGCCTTAACATCCTGCAGACACCCCAGGTTCTCAGAGCTCTGCCTTCATCCCCCCATCACCCTGAGCCAACCATGGCATTCACCTCCAGACCTTCAGAGCATCTACCCAAAGCCTAATGGCATGGACAGACATGGCCTGCAGCACAGATGCCAACCCCAAGGCTCTTCATTTCCTCCCCCCAATTTCTACCCAGTTACACAGACCTGGTTTTGATGAAGCCTGGAAGAAGCCTTCCATTGCCTAAACAAGCTCCAAGAAACCTGGAGAGGGGCTTGGGACAAGGGCCTGTAGGGACAGGCCAAGGGAATGGCTTTAACCTGCCCCAGGGGAGACTGAGCTGAGCTCTTAGGCAGAAGCTCTTCCCTGGGAGGGTGCTGAGGCGCTGGCACAGGGTGCCCAGAGAAGCTGTGGCTGCCCCATCCCTGGCAGTGCTCAAGGCCAAGTTGGACACAGGGGCTTGGAGCAAGCTGCTCTATGGAAGGGGTCCCTGCCCGTGGCAGGGGTTGGAGCTGGAGGGGCTTTAAGGTCCCCTCCACCCACACCAGTCCGGGATTATGATACCTGACCCTTAACCACCAACAATTGGGCCTGGGTCACTCAAAATCCATCTCGGATACCTCAGCTCCCCCTAGCACACATGAGCTGCTGTTCCAGGCCTGCCCCACGCTGCAGCACCCAGCACCCGCAGAGCCCCAGGCCGAGCGCACAGGACTACGTACATTGTATGGACATGGGAGACACGATCTCTTCGTCCAGGTCATCCACGTCGTCAGTCATGATGAAGTGCGAGGGGTTGGGCCGGGGGGTGCCCATCCAGCTGGGGTCGATGTTGAGGGCTGATGCCAGGCTGTGGATCCCCGGGTTGTTGACGATCTGGAAGCCACAGAGCAGCTCAATCTGCTGCCAGCGATGCAGGCGCTCCCGCAGCGCCGCCGTCACCTCGCTCAGCGCTTGCCTGGAAGCAGGGGGCACACAGGGAAATGTGGGCAATGAAAGACAAACACACCTCGAAGTGCCCAAGCAGAGTCCAGAGGGTCAGCTCTGGATCCCGGTGCCTGAGACATCTCCCATTCCACCTCCAGGATTCTACACACCACGGGGTAAACAGACATCCCAGGGTAAAGGGTTAAGAATCCCAGCACATCCCGAATCCTTCTGACAGTTTGAATTACTCTTGCTAACTGTGACTGCTGGTTTGACCCAATTTAAAGGTTATTGGTTAAAAGCAGCAAGTCCAACCCCAGCTCAGCCAACAGGACACAAGTGCAGCAAAATGAGACCAGGAGCACTGGAGGCTACAGCACGCTCACATCTGTGAGAGGAGAGAGGAGAGGGGAGCAGGGATAAGGGATTCAGCAGGCACTCACTTTGCAGTCAGGATTTTATGGTCGACATCATCCAGAGAGGAGCTGTGAGCAACGTGGAACGTTCCAAACAGGGTGTTTCGCTTCTTCTTGATTTTTTCAGCCTGCAACATCAACAGAAGGAGGTCACAGGAAGAAGAGGACCTCAGGTGGCCTCCAAGCCAAGAACGTCCTGGATGGGGGAGCCAGAAATAGGCCCCGCAGCTGTCTGCACACGTGTGAATAGTGTGAATTGTGGTTCACCGAGGGATGTTATCCCTCCTCCCGCAGCCGGTGAGGGATTGCAGCAGCCAGGAAGCAGCTGGGGGCTCCTGCTCCTCCTGGTCCTTCTCCCGATTTCCCAACACTCAGTTCAGTTCCTCCAGCGAAGGGCTCTGATGGAGCTTGTTCTGGCTTTCCCAGGACCAAACTACCAAACACAGTTAATGCCCTGGGGCTGTTGCTTTGGGGAAGCAGTTTTTAGTTTGAGGTTGGTTTTCTTCCCCTTTGTGGAAAAGTCTCCCCTTTAAAGGGGTGTGAAATCAAAGCGGAGTGGGATTTAGCTTCACAGATCTAGTGGCCTTATCCTGAAACTCAGACAGACCAAGGACATGGACAGGAGAACTGGGACAGCAGAGGGAAAAGCACTGAAAAGTTAGTGTGGTTGTGAGAAGCACGTACCAAGGAAGGGGTTTTACACTCTGCCAGCTCCGGCTGCCGTGTGTGTCCACAGACACAAACGTGTTACAACAGCAGCCCTGCACCTCGGAGCTTTCTGGTTGCCACAGCACATTTGAACCAGCTGGGAAAGCAGAAATGATTCATCTCCACAGATCATATCCATGTTCAACATGGTGTTGCCTGGGCACGTAAATGACCGAAAGCAGGGATTATGCTTAATAGGTGCAAACCCTTCTGCTTACTAACGACCCACAGGGCTGTCACACGGGCAGAGATCCCGTTTCTGCACCTTCCCTGGGCTGCAGCACACTGAGGACGTGGTAACGCAGGCCATGGGCATGCCCTGGCCAGGCCGTGGCTCAGCACCATCCTGGCAGTGCTCAAGGCCAGGCTGGACGACACGGTCTAGTGTGGGGCGTCCCTGCCCATGGCAGGGGGTTGGAACTGGGTGCCCTTAAGGTCCCTTCCAAAACAAACCACTCTGGGATTCTATGATTAAAACGGCAATGAAGAAGGTGCAGAGCAGCCAACTGTGCCAGCTGCACTCCCAACCCACGCTGTGGACGGGGATGCTCTCACCCCTTCCTTGGCCACCAGCAGCTGCTTCTCGGCGTTCTGCTTCTTGATGTTGTAGTACTGGACCTCCACCTCGTGCGTCAGCTGCAGCCACTTCTGCAGGGCCTCGGGCGCAGCCCAGCTGCAGTGCGACTCCAGCTCCTTCTCGGCGTTCTTGAGCGCCATGCGGACCTGCGGGACAAGCAGCCCTGCACTGCAGCAGCGGAGGGCACCCCAGCCCCGGCAGCATCACCCCCGGCGCCCGCGCCCAGCCCAGCCCCTGTCAGACAGCGGCAGAAGAGGAAGGCTCTGCAGGGCTCATCTCGCTCAGCACAGGAGCAGAAGTTGCTTGGAGAGGTGGTGGGCAAGGGAGAGGGAGCGCGGCAGCGTGGCCATCGACAGGCAACAGCCTCCTGGTACCTGCTGGGGCTGCAGGGAACCTGGAGAGGGGCTTGGGACAAGGGCCTGTAGGGCCAGGCCAAGGGGAATGGCTTTAACCTGTCAGAGGGGGACTGAGATGAGCTCTTAGGCAGAAGCTCTTCCCTGGGAGGGTGCTGAGGCGCTGGCACAGGGTGCCCAGAGAAGCTGTGGCTGCCCCATCCCTGGCAGTGCTCAAGGGCAGGTTGGACACAGGGGCTTGGAGCAAGCTGCTCCAGTGGAAGGGGTCCCTGCCAGTGGCAGGGGTTGGGAATGGAGGAGCTTTAAGGTCCCCTCCAACCCCTTCCATGTTTGTGTTACTCTCCTCCCTCGCAGCTCAGCCTCCTCCACACACTTCCTGCATCTTGCTGCAGAAAGGAGCCATTACAAAACCAGAAGCTGGTGACAAGCAAGTCTGAGAGACCCAAACCTCACACAGAGCATTCAGTGCTAGCACCCAGAACACTTCTCTGCCATTGCACAGACGCAGAGAGACTTCAGCAGCCTGACACAAGCCCTGCAGGTGTAATTTCCAGGGAGCCACAGGTACCAGCTTACACACAGATCCTGTGAAGTCCCGTTCTGGATGGATCCTGGAGGACATTTGCAAGATCCATCAAGAAGGAGCAAGGAGGCACCACACAGGAGAGGTCAACTGCTTATATCCCTTAGGTGTGATGTGGTCCTGCTGAGCACAACATGGCCTAAATCACTGGCACAGAATACCTGACCCCAGGCAGGTCTGCTTCTATCCCTCTGACACCAGCAGCGCCGCTCCTACCTCAGGCAGAAGTGACCACGATCCACATGCATCCGGCATTTAGGAATATGGAGAATGAGGAAATGGGACACGAGGGACGTGGGGCAGAGGAGTGCTCAGACCTTGTCAGGAATGTTTCTGGGCACTGGTGGAAAAGGGCAGTGGTGCAGAACAACAGCCAAGGAGCAGTGGCCAAAACAACCCCCTTGGTTCCGCAGGGAACCAACGCAGGCAGGAGTTACTTTGTGAGGCCACGTTCTCCTGTGAAGATTCCCAAGATCCCACTTTGATCAGAACACTTTATAGGGCAAGGAATGACCTCTGGGGCTGCCGCCCTGGCTGGGGTCATGGTCTGGGGGAGGATGAGCTAGTGAGGAGAGAGGATCAGTTCGAACAACCCTCTATGGGAGAGTCCCATCCCAGAAACACACTGCAGCTCCAGCTCATCCCCCCGGCTCCAGCAGGAGCTCCCAGCCCCTCCCAGTATCGCTTTAGTGCTAAGAACCATCTGCTGCAAAAGGGGGTCTCGGTTTAATATTCCCTGGACCCAACAATATCTTAAGTGGGATGAGGTTTCTGGTCAGTGGGAGTGACTGGTTAATGCTGGTGGTGGTCTACAGCTCACTGGGACGGTGATCATGTTATAGGCACACAGTGTGGGTCAGCTGGGTAAAACCAATACTCACCCTGGCAATGCATCCCTCCCGCAGGCCTCTAAGAAACAACAGAGCAGTTGAGTCACCGCCGCTCCCCGGGTGTCTCACCAAACGTAAGAGGAGGGGAGGTGGGATGGTGAGGAGCAGACTGGGTACGAGGGCCTGGCGCTACAAGAGGAAGGCTGCACACCCCTCTTTAGCGGCCCAAACCAAAGTGCCTGGATTTCTGTTTGTGTGAGTATGGACGTCCCGCTGTGTGTCCTGAAACGGGGCTCGGGGGGGAGGCTGGATGAGCAGTTAGGAGGATGCCCCATCCCTGGCAGTGCTCAAGGCCAGGTTGGACACAGGGGCTTGGAGCAAGCTGCTCCAGTGGAAGGGGTTGGAGCTGGAGGAGCCTTAAGGTCCCTTTCAACACAAACCAGTCCAGGATTCTGTGATCACCAGAGCAAAGCTGGTCCCAGGCACCTGTGGATCTCTGGGCTGTTGATATTCCAAGCAGGAAGGGAACTTTCTGTGTGCAAACTGAGCACACCTGGGCTACACTGCCCCGTGGTTCCTGGTGACCTGATGGCCCAGGACACTTCTTCCTCCGCTGTCAGTGGAACCCCTCAATTCCTGTTGTGTTTTCTTCCCCATCCTCCATGGTGGCAATGAAAGACTGGACCTGGTCAGGCTGGGGATGTGCTGATGGCCTCGGAATTCCCAAGGCACTTGCTTGGCTCATGCAATTCCAGCTCACACCAGCTCAGGTTGAACTGATCTATAAATTACAGTCAGGCCAGAGCTGTCCCTCAGGGCAGCAGGAAGCAGCCACTGGATTTGTGGCGTTGGGCAAAGGGAATTCCCAGATGCTCACTCTCTGCCCTCTGTTACTGCAGATGCCATGAGCACCATCCTTGATTTCCGTTATTCCCCCACAACCTTTGCTGAAGGTCTGAGGGTTTGAGCCTACAATGAACTATTTCACAAATGCTCTGTGTATCCTTCTGGACCCAGTGTGTTTCGTTGTGCCCAGCAGCAGCCTTAGACACAATATTCCAGACCTACATTAGGATGTATAAGCTGGGGACATGTTTGTCCTGCTCATCTAAACATAAAACTAGTGGATTTGAGAACTGCATCCCAACTCTAACTTTGCTGTATTCTCATCTAGTGCTGACTTTCCTTGGAAGCAAATCTGCCTCTCACACCTCTCTGATCCATCAGAAAACACGTTAAGCACAAGCAAAGTCACCACAAATCTCTGCTAAACCCATGAAGAGATACAGAAGAAAGGGCTCAGGGCTGGGAGTGGGAGTTAGAAGTCACCCGAGGGTGCAGCCCCGGGTCAGGTTCAAGGCCCTTGCTGTGGGACAGGACGGGATGCTGCGTGGCCGCAGCCCGTTGCTCCAGACCCCAGCACACAGCAGCGTGGTTACAGAGTGCAGGGGAGGGGAAGACACCCTCAGATCCCTGCCTCCACGCAGGGCAGTGGCAAAGCGACGAGGCAGAGCAGGGTAAGCAGAGCAGCCCTGGGCTCCTCGGGGAGGAGGCAGGGCGAGGAGCCGCTCCTGCTGCCTTACCTGCTCCAGCTCCTGCTCCGCGTACTTCTGCCGGCTGAGCTCGTTCTCGGTGCCCTCGCGCAGCTCCCGCAGCCGATGGGCCTCCTGCTTGGCGATGCTGATCTCGTCCTGCAGCTTCTTCTCCAGGTGCACCTTCTCCACCTCCACGGAGCGGTGCTCCTCCTGCGCCTTCTGCAGCCTGCAGGACAGCAGAGCCCCGCGCTGGCTGCGCCGCTGGCACAGGCACAGGCGCAGGAGGCCACCGCGCGAGGGCTGCCCGGCCACCACCTCCCCAGCCCCGCGCCGAGCGACCCTGGGCTAGGATCACAGGGGTCTCTGTGGGGAACGTCAAGGAGAAAGCTCCCCATGGCCAGGGTGAAACCAAATCACCTCCGGAGTCACAGGTTCAGTTATCAAACACACAGCAGGAACTGCCTTCGTTTTCCAAAGTGGTCCCAGGATTCCCACTAAGCCTCAAATTAACTTCAATTTTCAGTGTTTTTACAAACTGAGGAGCTTTGCTTTAATGAATCAAAAAAGGAAGATCTGCCTCAGCCGGTCTAACCAGCCAGATGGGATGTTCTCCTTGCAAGAGCCTTCAAACAGAGACATGTCTTAATCTTGCCTGGAAGTTATTCTTTTTCCTCATAACACAATGAAATCGGTAGGAATTATATATATGGCAACAAGAAGTACTAACATGGTCCTTGTACCCATTCAGCAAGGTTCAACCATTGAAGCTGGAAAGCTTCGGCCCTCTGCAGGAGACACCACCACAACCACAATGAGATGCTTCAGGGTTTCAGTGATGTCTGGATGGTTTTGGTGTTTTTCATGGAATCATAATCCCAGACTGGTTTGGGTGGAAGGGACCTTAAAGCTCCTCCAGCTCCAACCCCTGCCACGGGCAGGGACACCTTCCATAGAGCAGCTTGCTCCAAGCCCCTGTGTCCAACCTGGCCTTGAACACTGCCAGGGATGGGGCAGCCACAGCTTCTCTGGGCACCCTGTGCCAGCGCCTCAGCACCCTCCCAGGGAAGAGCTTCTGCCTAAGAGCTCAGCTCAGTCTCCCCTCGGGCAGGTTAAAGCCATTCCCCTTGGCCTGGCCCTACATCCCTTGTCCCAAGCCCCTCTCCAGCTTTCCTGCAGCCCCTTCAGGCACTGGAGCTGCTCTCAGGTCTCCCCTTCAGGAGCCTTTTCTCCAGGCTGGACCAGCCCGGATCTCCCAGTGACCATGTAAAACTATCCATAAAATGAAAAGAAAAAGCCCCCAATGGAATCGTCTCCACCAGAAATATTTCAAGCTCGTAAAATCATCTCCCCTCAAGATCAACATCCAAACTGGAAAGCAAACCAGCAGAGTGATGTGTCCTATGACAGAGGAGAGGGATAGCGGCACTCAGTGAGCTGGACCTGACCAAGATCCCACCTGGAGAGGGGCACCGTGGGCCTTCCGGAGCAGCTCCTGCTCATCCCAGACCAGAAAAGGGAAACACTGCCGCTCCCTGCAGCACACACCAAGGTACCCAGCCTGGTGGTGAAGGGCATCACTTGGGTGTGCTCTTGGGCATGCACAGGCAGCAGGGACCCATCGCTGCCTTTGGGGCCAAGAGTGAAGCCCCTGACAGCCCCAGCAAGGACCCCTCTTCCTCAGGCTCCTCGTGGGCCAGTTGGAAGAGCGTGGCTCTCTCTGCCATCACATTGTCTCTCCTCTTGGAAAAGGCCCAGTTCCAATGGACAGCTCTGCTGAGAAACTCAAGTGTTTTCTCCCCAATTCAAAGAGGCTCTTGCCAGGACATTCCATGTTCTCAGATAAGCCCACGCTCTCTGCCCTGAGCAGCAGCCCTAAAGCTCTTCCATACTAGGCCTGTGCGAATCCCAAACCACCAAAATATCTCTCATGAAAGGAGAAATTCCCCTGTCCTGTGACGCAGAAGAGGGAAGGAATTTTGTCCTTCAGCTAATTCCCAAAGGCACTCTAACGCTGTGATCTCCATTATAACCTCCTGCTCTCCTGACACAGAGCCCCTGTTCACATGTTGGCCATGGACAGAACCACGGACTGTGTGTGCAGCCACCTTCAGGCCCAGATGATTGAGCCACGGGGGCACCACGTGCCCTGAGCTCTACAAGACAACACAGAGCTACACTTGTAAGCATGAAATCATCATGGAATCCCAGCCTGGTTTGGGTTGAAGGGACCTTAAAGCCCCTCCAAGCTCCAAGCCCTGCCATGGGCAGGGACTGTTCCACTGGAGCAGCTTGCTCCAAGCCCCTGTGTCCAACCTGGCCTTGAGCACTGCCAGGGATGGGGCAGCCACAGCTTCTCTGGGCACCCTGTGCCAGCGCCTCAGCACCCTCCCAGGGAAGAGCTTCTGCCTAAGAGCTCAGCTCAGTCTCCCCTCGGGCAGGTTAAAGCCATTCCCCTTGGCCTGTCCCTACATCCCTTGTCCCAAGCCCCTCTCCAGCTTTCCTGCAGCCCCTTCAGGCACTGGAGCTGCTCTCAGGTCTCCCCTTCAGGAGCCTTCTCTTCTCCAGGCTGCCCCAGCCCAGCTCTCTCGGCCTGGCTCCAGAGCAAGGAATCAAAGGGCAATGAGGGCAAGAAGCCGATGTCATCCATATCTTCACACCATCTTCCATCCTCAGTAGGATGCTAGGACATGAGCTTTTTGATCTTGATGGGTCATTTAACTGACTGGAAAGTGTCACTGGTGAAGGACGTTCTCAGAAGGTATTTTGAAGATGAACAAAAAATGACTTTTTATATCCATCCTCCCTTCCCAGCTCTTCCAGAGGCACTGGACTTGTTCATCAGCACCAGCACTAGCAGCTGGCAGGTAACTGGAGAGGCACCACACACCTTCTGCAGGTCTGCTCAGCACCCAGCTCCAGTGAGGCAGGACAGGAGGTCCCTTCAAGCTCTGGAAAAGAAGTTTCTGAGTAGAACTTCAGAACAACTGATGCTGTTTGGAGGTTCTGCTGCTCCTACAGCGGCTGCGGACCACAGCTGAACCTCGCTGGGGCTCCGGGATGAAGAAGCGAAGGTGTATTCCCCCTTTAGAGGAGAATGAGCTCAATCCTGCACCAAGATGCCCCACAGTGCCCAAGGATGCAGCTCCCACCTCCTGAGCTCCAGCTCGGTGCCCTCTGCAGAGGACAAGCCCTCCCTGCAGAAACAACACAAGCTGCTCTGGCTTAAGGCTCAGCTATGTCCAGTGTTGGTGGTTTTGGGTTTCTTCCTCTCTGGCTTTAGAGCATTAGTTGATTCCCAGGAACATCCACTTGTTTACATGGCTCTGCCCTCGGCAGCAGGGCCCAAGGTCGTTCCCCACACCCTGCATCCACAGCAGAGGGTGCCTGGAGCTCTGCTGGGACCTGCTCCTCAGTGACACCAGGCAGACCTCCTGCCCTGCCTGCAGCCCTGCGGCTCCAGGTGGACAATGGGGAGGAATTCCCACCTCCTGCTGCCTGGGGACATAAACCTCCTTCTCTCTGGGCCACTTCCAACCTGTGCTCTGGAATTCCTGAGAGCTCTGTGGAACCAGCTGCGGAGTAGAGCTGGCCCCACGGCAGGTGCAGGGGAAATGCCTGGATTCTACCCCTGTGCCAAAGGGAACACAGGTCACGTATCCGCATTCCTGCGGGGAACGTGCCCGGTCTGGCACCCTCACCTTGGTGCTCTCTCAAGTGTCTGCCCCCCCAGACACCAACTGATGGGGTCACACGCGAAGGAAAAGCCCTTCCAGCAAAACTCAGGAGCAGAGAGACCCTGAAGGCTGCTCATGGCACACAGGCAAGAAGAGGCTGCAGCCCTGGAGCAGCTGCTCTGAGGCCTCCCTGGAGCCCTCCTTTCTCCCCAGCTCTCAGCCTGTCTTCAGGGCAAGAAACAAAGGGGCAGTGGGGCAAGAACCCAGGGTCCAGCGTGGGGCTTCTTACTGAATCCTCCAAAATGATGTATTTTGTCCATCCTTCCCAGGCAGCACTCCTGAAGGCAGGTATCACCGTGCAGACAGGATTCAAGAGGGGATGAGCAATTCCTCTGTTGCTTCTATGGATTCAGCATGCCTTTTCCCCATCAAAAGCCAGCATGAAACAACCTGACCAGCCTGGATGCCAAAGTCTGCATGATCAGGATTCCTGTGACACCTTTAAGAGGCTCTTCTTCCCCTCCAGGTATGGATTTAAACTGTAATTTCAGGGAGTGGGGATCCCAATATACTGTCACTATGAGTCAGACAGGGAGTACTTTCACTGTGTGAAATTCCACTGCTCCCATATACTTAACTGTGAATGAATAGGAAGTGCCTACTTGAAATAGAGGAGGCCCTCAAAGCAAAGTGACCACTGGGAGTACAACAGGAGAGCTCCCATCCCCTCTGCTCAGACGGATGTTTTGCTC